ATTCTTTGTGTCATACGATTTGTTGACCTCATTATACCTAACATTGTAAGTATGTGTTAAGGCTTAACAGTTAAGCATTTCATTGCTTTCAAAATAAAGAAAAAAAGTAAAAAATGTCTAAAACTGAAAGTTATTTATAGCAATATATCCCACAATCAATGATTTGCATAATTTTTGAGTTGCATTTCAGTGAAAGACGTGAAACAATAACAGCGCCGACGGATAACGACCTGTTGTCGCCACCAAACTATCGCTAAATTAAATATCTGTATAAGACATTTGAATATCCATTTGGATAAGTTTGACAACTTTTTCAAACACTTCTCGATAACTGTCATACATAGTGACAACGCTTGACATTCAATTACATTGTAATTGACGCTAACTGTATGTGTAATCATATAATTTGGATTCAATTTATCTCATCGTAACTAATAATTCATTTATTTGGATATATGTTATGCGCTGTTTGTGTAGTGTTATCGCAATTAGTGGAGTTCAGTATACAGTAAATTACAGTAAACTCGTGCAACTCTTTTAACTTTATTACACTTTTCATATGACTTTTCATACATGTATGTCTATTCATATTAAACAAAGATTATATTTTATCTCAAAAATATACTAATTTTGCATTAAATACACACTTTTTGTTCAAGTTTTTGAATATTATATTAAATTCAACTCAATTATTAATGAACACACTTTTCCTATAATTGTGACTATAATTGAGATGTGCTTAACAGTGATGTACCAGAATCTGGACAAACACTCACTTCATTCAAGTTTACGCACTAATGAATGCTGTATTTAAGTTGCGTTAAAAGTCGTATATAGTGTGCATATATTGGTCTTAAGTAAGTACCGACGGGTTGGCCATGAATGAGACCTATTGGGGGTGATGTCCACTCACGTCGAGGGCAAAGAACGGGCAGAGATAGGGAGAGAGAGAGGGATGTGTTGGGGAGAGAGGGATGTATGGGTAATGTATGGCAATGTATGGGTAGTGTTGAGTGACTCCCTCTATAGTCGAGTCATTGTTTTGAGTGTTTGTTGTGTTGTCTCGACTATGACTCAAAACAATGAGTGATTGAGTGATTGTTGGCATCGCATCACCAATTGATCCCATTTTTGGCCATCCATTCACACTATTGTCTCCCAATTGATCCCCACATATATCCAGTGTTTTGCATAGCATTGTTGTGTCCATTAAATGGCATTCATTTGATCCGTAAAGACAATCAATTGAATGGTATTTAACGCCATTTTGACGCAAACCATACAAAACAAGTGATTATTGTTTGAATGAATTAATGATTAAATGTTTTGAACATTGAATGCAATTATAAGTGATTTTTATGACAATTAAAGCGATTATAAATCGCGCGACAAATAAGCGTTTCGTTTGGCATTTGAATCGATTATTACAACTCATTGAACGACACATTCATTGCCAGTGATTATCGGATCCATTGATTTGTGTCCGCTCTCTATGTCTTCGCCGACATCGACACCAAATAACATGAACTCTTCGCGCCTTCAGAACAGTCAGGCGTCGAGTCTTCGCAACACAGACTTGGATCACATTTGGGGTGATCTGAAGACTGGCATCGAACAGGTCTACACCAATAAGAGGCAAAATATGCCCAAAAACCGTTACATGGAGTTATACACGTATGACACACACCATTGTCACACTTTGATCCCATTGTCATGCCTTTGTCTCTCTCTCTCCCGCAGACATGTCTACAACTACTGCACTTCAGTCCATCAGACGAACACCAGATCGCCGACCATTTCGGCCAATAATGTGCTCCAAAACGTGAGCCCAAACCTGACGGCCAACGGTTCCCGAAACAAGAAAGGCGTGACTCAGGGCGGCGCCCAATTCGTGGGCTTTGAGCTCTACAAACGTCTCAAAGACTTCCTCGAGGGTTATCTGAAACACTTGTTGAAGGTTTGCATTGAATTCATCGCATATTGACTCGAAATTTACATTTTATATCAATTTGTTTAATGTTTGATCACTTCTTTGTTTTGCAATCACAATGACTGGCATTTTATGACATGTTTTGTTATTTTGCGAAACGAAAACATTTTAAGTTTTGAAATAATTTGCAATTGAATCCAAACTATAGGATGGAACCGATCTTATGGACGAAGAAGTGCTTAGATTTTATACCAAACAATGGGAGGAATACCAGTTCTCGAGCAAAGTATTGAACGGCATCTGCTCTTATCTGAACCGCCATTGGGTTAAAAGAGAGTGCGATGAGGGGAGGAAAGGCATCTATGAGATCTATCAGGTCTGGACTCACTTACAACCCATTGTCAGTGTCTTTGTTTACAATAATGAGTTGTCTTACAGTTGGCGTTGGTTTCATGGCGTGATTGTCTGTTCCGAGAGCTCAACCAACCCGTCACTAACGCTGTCCTCAAACTCATCGAAAAGGAAAGGAGCGGCGAAACCATAAACACTCGACTAGTGAGCGGTGTTATGAACTGTTACGGTATGTGACCATCGGTTGATCCGTCACTTGAATGTACAGCGAATTAATTATTATGTGATTAACAGTGGAGTTGGGTTTGAACGAAGAGGACCCTCAGGCCAGAGGTCCGAACCTATGTGTATATCACGACGCTTTCGAAATAAAGTTCTTCGAAGACACCGAACGGTTCTATAAGATGGAGAGCCGTCTCTTTCTGGACAAGAATCCGGTGACCGAATACATGAAGAAAGCCGAACAACGACTGACCGAAGAACAGAAAAGAGTTCAGTTATATCTTCACGAAAACACATTAAGCCCTTTGGCTAAAGTCTGTGAGAAAGTCCTCATTGAAAATCATTTGGAAATATTTCACTCAGAGTTTCAGAACCTTCTGAATGACGACAAGAACGAAGGTTTGCTTTAACTCTCTCTCTCTCTCTCTCTCTATATAATTATGTAATCTTTTGGACTATAAACGAGCGTTTGGTTCGTAAATGCAATATTAACACTCAAAACAATGACTCGACTATAGAGGGAGTCACTCAACACTACCCATACATTGCCATACATTACCCATACATCCCTCTCTCCCCAACACATCTCTCTCTCTCTCTCTCTCTATTGTATGATACAATTGTTTATGTCCTAGATTTGGGTCGAATGTTTCAATTGGTTCAAAGAATACCAAATGGTTTGGGAGAACTCCGTAACCGATTGGAGGCACACATTCACAATCAGGGACTCAATGCAATCGAAAGGTGCGGTGAATCTGCGCTCAACGATCCCAAGATCTATGTGACCACTACTCTCGAGGTTCACAAGAAATACAACGCTTTAGTTGTGGACGCGTTCAACAATGACGCCGGCTTTGTGGCCGCACTCGACAAGGTTTGCACTTTCACTACTCATTTTACTATTTGTTAATTAATTGATATGTTATGTGTTAAGGCGTGCGGAAAGTTTATAAACAATAACTCAATCACTCGTTTGGCCAACTCTTCGAGCAAATCGCCAGAACTTCTCGCAAAATACTGTGATTTACTTCTGAAGAAAACTTCCAAAATTCCAGAGGAAACTGAATTGGAAGAGACACTCAATCAAGTGGTAAGATATCCATTGAATACAATTTATGAGACAATTTCCAATTTCTTAATATTTCGTTCAACAGATGATTGCTTTCAAATACATTGAAGATAAAGATGTCTTTCAGAAGTTTTATAGTAAAATGTTAGCCAAACGTTTAGTTCAACACATGTCTGCCAGTGATGACGCCGAGGCATCCATGATCTCAAAGCTTAAGGTATTGTTGAATGTGTTTGATTTGTGAATATAAACACTAATACTGTATTGATTTGAACCGTAAACCAATAGCAAGCCTGTGGTTTTGAATACACGTCTAAATTGCAGCGAATGTTTCAGGACATCGGCGTTAGTAAAGATCTCAACGAACAGTTTAAGACTCATCTCATCAACTCTAACGAACCCCTCGACTGTTAGCACTTTT